TTAGGTTTCAATTGGGGATTTCATATTTTTCTTTATGATGCAATTGGAGTTAAACGAAGATATAAAAAAACGTTGTTGTTAAATAGAACTAAAATTGCTATTTCACCCATAACGTTTTAATCCATCATGTACTCAATTAACTAGCGTAGGACTTGACTATCTCCGGTGAAATCGTATAGGGGATCCAATGTGGGGGTCCAAGGGTGATAAGTCTGCATTTGATTGAATTCACTCCCAAATAGAATATTTATCGAACTTCCATTATCCACAAGCATTCGATTAAATCCATTATTAACTATTATCACTCGAATGATCATAACAATGGGGACAGATTGTTTCATTCTTATCATCAATAAATTCAATGGTAAGGAATTTAGATTTTGAATTACCTTAAACCCAGTGATTTTCAAATGCTAGCATATTAGCAGCTTGCTTAGTACTGTTCCTCTCTGAGTTTATTGTCTCCCTTTCTATGCGAGATCGGCTAATGACAATGTTGATCTCTTCGTTAAACTCTTCCCATTGCCTCTTCTAATCAATATTACTGTCTTTGTGGCTATCGCCGCAAATTTCAATTCTAGCTTTCAATGCAAATTTCAATAGGATTCGCTTCTGTTTGACTCATTTTTGAACATTTTTTTCTGATGGTTTATATTTTCAAAGAAAACTGTGTTTAGATCGTGGCTATCTTTGTTCTCGATTTCCCACTAACTGTGTCAATTTGTTGACCTCAATTTTGACATTAACAAATTTCTCTCACCTAACCAAAATTTTACCCTCCTAAAGTCATTGAATTTATGCTTAAAACAAGAGAGAAGATAAATGGCTATTTAAAAAAAGTGTATTCAGATTTTCTTGTGTTACTTTGTTCTCTACTATGTCTGTTTATAGATTTCTCATCAGGCTAAGAAGGTAACAAAGTCCTTTTCTATGATGCCACGCTACTATTGATTTGTAAATTTCTGACCTAATCTTTAGTTTTTCACGTTTTATTCACCAATCCACGTGTTCTTCATTCATTGGTTGTAAAGTCATGTTTAACAAGTTTTACATTCTTATTCACGTGAATTTTAATAACAATTTTTGCTAAAGTGAAATAGTTGGTGAAACTAAGATGTAAATTTGCTCAATTGGCGGTTTTGTATTTGCACGTTTTGTGTGCTTGCTATTCACGCCCAACGTTGTGTACAAGGCTTCGCATTGTACGTGCTTGTTAATTCTAACTCGAGTTTGCTGATGATCTAATGGTTAACTTAAAAAGTGTTTACTGACAGTGGCACAAATTTGCACATGATCTAATATTGCAAATGACGATCGAACTTCTCGCCATTGATCCTTTATAAAATTTATTGACAACAATTTAGTCTACGAAATTGAACTGAGTACTTTGAATGCAATTAAATTGAAGTTTAAGTGTTCTGCTTGCTACAAATTAAAAGTTCGATGACCTCTTTATAATTGGGATAAAAGTTGGGTTGACCTCTTGTGCAACTAACCCGATTTCGACTATGTGACGAGTAAATATATGTTGATGGCCATGTTTGCATTCGTTGGTTTTTATGGTCAACTTCGTATGTTCTATTAAGTCGTAAGAAGGACCCCAATCGGAGTAAATCTTCATTGGTTTATGATTATTATTTCTAAGTGACCTGCTAACATTGAAATTCAATATCCTAAGGTTTTTTCTTTTGAAAAAGTTTTGGATATATAGACCCACAAATGTGTTATCAGAAACCAAATCCAATTCAAAATCAAAAATTGGCCCGCTAAAATTTAGCCGTTGCTTTCATTGCAGTCTCAACGGCTAAATTTACCTCCTATATAAATTTCAATATTTTCCTCTCCATTAACCAAATTAATCCTCTGTTCTTACACCGACAAATTGAATATGGCTTCTTCAAAGCTCAGAAATTCATGCTCATTTCTAAATGTTCTCCTCTCATTTCTGAATTTCATTCTCTTTATTCTCTCTGCTGCCTCTTTGGCTCCAACAATTTTGATCAAAATGCCACCAACTTCACTGGCCTTCGCATTCTTGATGGTTTCTTGCATTTCCCTTTTGTCTTCTTTCATAGGTTTTTACTCCCACCTCACTCACTTTTGCTACATAACCCACATATCTCTCCTAATCGCCTCGTCGATTGCTCAATTATTCGGCATTTTGGCCTTGTTCACCAAGGAGAAGTTGAGCCTTTCGATGCTAAAATCTCCGAGAGATCCTAGAGAGGCAAAGCTTCTGGTGAGATTAGAATGTGGGATTTTAATGGCCATGTTTGTTATGCAGTTGGGCGTGCTGACACTGACTTGTGCTGTGCATAGTTGTTGGTTGAGAGAATACGAAGGATTGGAAGCAGAGAGAGAAGAGACTGCGAAGAAGAGAAGACAAAAAATTGCTAGAGTGCAAGAGGAATCCATGGCAAATGCAGCAAAAATTGCAGAGATCAAGGGGAAGGAATTTGATGAAAAAATGAAGAACAAGTATGGTCAATGGATGAAGTGAAGGCTAACAAGGCCTACTGATAAAGTTGTTCAATCTATCATATGATGTGCTTTTGATTTTATTTTCTTAGTCACTATGGGGTGGCAACATCATCATCATCATCATCATCATTATTATGTACCGTGTAAAGTTAAGTGTTGGAAAAAAATAAGTGATTTATGTGTAGATTATTAATTAATATATTAAATTTAAATAACATAAATATAATAAGAGAGTTAGAAATCAAGTTTTAGGGAATTACGTCAATGATGATATCCTAAAATAGTGTGGTCTTTCGTGCGGATGGTTTCGGCACTATATGACTCTAAGATAAAAATCCTTTGGCTTACAGTTGGTTTTACTTTTAGGAACACGATCATAGAGCGATAAAGATCGAACTTTTATCTAGTTGCCAAAATGAATGTGAAAATGTAGAGTTAGTTTTCTATTAAGCTGTTTTAATTTTTTTTGTTAAAACTGGAAACCTAAAACTTATTTGTATGTTACAATAATTCCCCATAAATTTTAAACATTCAAAATAACTTGGTGATCAATTTCTATTTGAAAGAGTCGTAATGGTCAATCATGCACTTTCTTAATGCTAGTCTCTCTTGATTCTAGTGGAAGTCTCTACGGAATAACACAATCACATAACCATGGTTTTATGATAATATAGGTGAAATCTCCAAGGACGCAATTGACCTGAACCTCACGAAATTTCCCGCATCGATACTCATTTCACCTTTCCCGACGTCACAATCATTAGCATTATTACCATAGGAAAGAGCACAAATAATACAGTGATATTATAAGTCAAGCAATGCAAATTTTTTCTGGCACATTGAACCCTATTCATAGAATCTTCATTCACAAAGTTTGGATTCCTTTATGAGTTTAAGTAGATCCCCCTCGATGATTTATTTATATTCATCATAGACTACAATTTATTCATGTCCTCCTGGACAATACTTTGCTGACATCAATTTTAGTAAATACATTTGATAAGTTTATATTCTGTATCTGTACATTTGTAAAGTCTTTTAAAAACTTTTCAAAATACCAGAATCACATATTTAAGAATAATAAGATAAACACGTGAAATTTCTAATATTGACTTTGTAAAACGTATGAGCATATTGTGACGGATCGCAAGGTGATGACTTGAGATCTAGCATGGCGCGGGAATGTCACCTAAAATGGTGGGGAAATGACTAATACCCGTGGTGGCTGGTTCATGTCCAGGTCATGCCTAGAAAATTCGGGTGTGACTGCAGTCACTGCGACACAGGCAGT